GCACCTTCTTTAAGGAGTTTTCCCATATTCCTCAGATGTTTACGTATTGTTTCATGAGAGACATGCAATTTCAGGGCCATTTCACGAGTGTGTTGCCTTGGGTTACATTCAACAAGTGCCTTCAGAGCATCAATATCAATTCCAACATTCGGTCACTGCCATCACAGTTTTAAGGCTAAAGTCACCTGAACGAAATTTGCTGAACCATCGTAGACATATACGAACGTTCAAAACATTTCCATAAATTTCTTTGATATTCTTTGTGGCTACAGAGACGTTGTTTCCCTTCTTGTATTCAAACAGCATTACATGACGAATGTGTATCTTGTCGTGTATCATCACTATAAGGGATTAGAGTATACTATACTTTACACATTATATAGGCTACACTAACGTGACGTTTAGGCGGTTCGTTTAACGTTCGTTTATACGTGATGTACGTTTTTTGGGGGGTGGTTAATGAAAGCGTTTCAAAACGCGACATTAATTTCTTGACGACCTAATACATGTATTAGTTTATATGTTCTATCTTGTGGCTGGAACAAGTATTCAGGATTTCTGCTACAGATTTTCTAAATTTAGTTGTGTAAATATTCTCTATAAACAATAAATGAAGTAATCAGTAAATAAATTACTTTTTATCTGAAAGTTGCGATATTAATGTATTACTTTTGTGTTATATTTCATCAAAATGAAGTTTGAACGAAGTCACAGAACTAAACGCTACAGAACAGAGTTTGTACCGTTTTAACATTTGGTGTATCATAAATCACGAGGGGGTCTTTGAGCCCCGCAGCGGAACGCGTGTATTTTATGCTAATTCGTAGAAAGGCTCTAGATATTTAATTTTTTAGTATTTTTTTCATAACTGTTTTTTTTTTCATTTTTCGAATTTCATAGCTTTTTGGTTTATTTTCAGCTCATTCAGCCGAATCAGACACCAATATTGCCTTGTACGTTGGTCTGTTCGTAGCAATAGCATTTTTTCTGGCTGTCCTTATAGGCATGGTGTTCGTTGTTCGAAGAATTAAAGAACAAGACCCACCAATGCACATCGGTGATGGTTCCGGTAGGTGGCGTTATTTCTGAAAAAAAAAAGAGTTTTATAATCATATCTTTACTAACTTATGTACTGATAGTTGTTGTTTTTCACAACATTACTAGTCTCTTCTTTTATTTATTGTCTCAAAATATTTCAGAAGTTGTTAAACAGTCACGTTTACTATTATTGTTTGAAGATTTTAGCTGTTAAAATTATTTTCAAGCCAAAACTTTTCGAAGATATTGATATAATAACACTGGTTTATGTTAATGGAATTGATTTTATTTACTTGTTTATTTTTGTGTCTAAGAATTAACGTTCCGTTAACTTTTTAACAATCAGAAATATCGCATGTAATATTATAGGTCAGAAGATGGGACAGTGTAAATCTAGCTGGTATAGGGGCGCTACTGTGTCGAGTCATGTCAAGCTGTGATATGACGAAAAAAAGGTAACGTGTAATTTCCCTTAGAGAAACATTCCCGACAGAACTGCGTTATGATCGTCTCTTATGTCATTGCCTCTAATAATAATACTTTATTAAATTATAAAAAGTTTTAAATGTAAATATATATACATTATATTCAAAATTGGGGCCTGATATGATCTAATGGTTAGGATGCTGGAATCACGATCTGAGAGTCGTGGGATCGAAAGACATCGCCGAACATGCTTGGCCTTTTGAGACGCGGGGACGTTATAATGTGACGTCAATCCCACTGCTCTTTGATAAAGATTTTCCGAAGAGTTGGCGTTGGGTGTTGTTGTCATCCCTCTGGTCTATCATTTCAAACTTGAGGATGGCTACAGCAGATAGCTCTTGAACAGCTTTACGCGGATTTCAACAAACAAACAAATAAACAGACAATAAAAATTGCCTTTTGCCCATCTAACATCTGAAATTTTCAAAATGTACAATGAATATTCTCTAATGAATGTTCTAACATTAACTAAAAAGAACTAGCCTAAAATATGAACTTTAGAATAAAATCTACGATCCGTTTATTCATTATATACCTAACAATTATACATTTGTATGATTTATAATAATACTATCTTAAGAAACAGATTACATGTATGATTTTTAATAGAAGGTAGAGAATGAGAGACAATCATAACGCAGCCCTGTCGGAGATCTTCTTGTAAAGGAAATTTCGCGGTACCGTTAGGTACACAATCGGCTATCTTTGCTGTGCTCATCATGGGTATCGAAAACCATTTTCAATGGTTATTAGTCCACAACTTACCGATGTGCCACTGGGATGTACCTTTATTGTCCGCGTTGTACACTGTTAATGATATCCAAAAGTTCAGTGCACTATATATTGAGCTTGTTTAAATGCTTTTCCACTATAACTTAAATATTAAGTATGATAGTAAGCAAATAGTCGTGTTATTCCGAGAAAGCCGACAAGGCAAAACATAATATATTTAAAAATAGTTTTCTTCGGGTAAGTGATATAATAATAATAATAATAAATTACAATAAATTTGTAAATTCTTATAAAATTGTTCAAATATTGGTATCACGAGAGCTGGGCAACTGAGTTAACTAAGATAATAACTTTAAATTTCCACAAATGTGTTTTGCGTCTTTGCGACAATTAAATAAAGTAACGGTTAAGCTAATATGGAAGTCAGTAGTCTTTGTTGAATCGTTAAATATCCTGTCTATCTGTTACTCCTTTGTTAATTTCAACTATAACAGCAGGACTTCGCCAGAAGCTTAGAACTCATGATGTGTAAAACTGAAACATTGAAACTCATGATAAATAAACCTGAAACGTTGAAACTCATGATATGTAAAACTAAAACGTTGAAAGTCTTATCTTAAGCTAAAGTGGAATTTTAAAAAGACTACATTACTCCAACAAGGGAAAATAACATTTAACTATGATAACTGAGTTTCATACCTGTTTCTGTGTTGTTGTGTATTTGTTTATTCCCTGTTTCTTCAGGTTAATATCCTTCTTGGGTCAGATATTCAAGTTAGAGATTGTCTGACGTTTTCTGGAAAGCAGCTTGAATGTTGATGGGGTTCAGGAGTAACTCCCTATCATCAACTCGGTTTTATATCCTAATGTAGAAGTATACAGTAGTAAAAGTTATAATCAGGCGTAGGGGTTCGGAAGTAGGCAGTTTCTATTCGTTGCTGACCCTTGGTCCGGAAGGAAGGGATGATGGAAAGCGATGAGTACATTCATCTCCAGCTTTCTCGGGCCTTCTCTTTTGAAGAAGCGATCAATCCAACGAGCTGTTCTACAAGTTGTACACATATGAAGCTAGTGCATTGTAAAGCAAAGTGATTTGTACTTTTCGCTGAACATGTCTGTGAGATTAGTTTCGTGTTGAATCTTGTGCTTTAGTGAACCTTCAGTACTGTAATGACGGTACTACACTCCAGTAGAGTTATGGCATGCATACAGTCTAGCTTATTGCAGTCACTTCCTGAAAGAATCGATCGCTTACTAGCGGAGTAGGTGGCGAAATAAGAAATATTCTTTTTATATCAACATATATGCTGTAATTTTTTATTGTACTGCAGTTGAGTTGTAAACGAATCTCTTAATAGAGAACAGAAACGTTACTTTTATTTCTGCACAATTTTAACTAAAATACTTCATGGCGTTAGAGGCAGTAACAGAAATACTACGGGAAAGTAAAATCAAGTTTTTAATTAATTAGTTCGTGTCCTTTACTTTTAATTTATCTTACCCGTCATACTCTAACCCTCGTTTATAAGAAGCCAGTATCGAAGTGAACATAAAACTTATAGAACGTGGAAGGTACACAAGATATCTTTACTGCTATTTCACACCACACTTGTAACATAACACCCCAAAAATATTCCTTAAAAAATCCTATTGTATTTGGTTTTCTTAAATAAGGGCCAGTCGTGACCTAATGTATAGTGTGCCTGAACAGTGAATCCGAGGGTTTGTGGTTCACGGCTCCTTGCTCTTTGGATCCGTGGATGTGTTATAAGAGTGATGGTCAGATCCCACTATTTGATCAGACAAGAGTAGCTCAAAAGTTGGCAGTGGTGCTGTTGACTAACTGCCTTCCTTGTAGTTCGTCATTTCAAAATTATGGATGGCTATACACAAGTAACTCCCTGTGTTGCTTTGTGCGAATATGCTGAAAAACTATTTAAATATATAAAAAATTGTAAAATCTAAAAGTTTTAATCAAGTGTAAGAATAGAAAAATTTACTGACGGGCTAAAATTGCACTAAGCCTGGCCTGTTTTAGGTTGAAAAAGTTTGAAATGGTCTTACATTTCATTTCTATTCAACATGAAAACGTTCTGGTTCTTAATCGCTTGACTTATTATAAATATTCTTAATGAATGTTTGGCCTAATAATGTAAGGGAGCTAGAATTGAAATAATTTTGTTCCTTCTCATTCGTCAAGAAGCAATGAATTGTGTCATTTACGAGTGTCAGCGATTAGTCTCTGGTTGAACTGGATCTTTGAAGACAGCTTTAAAGGCTGAACTCCGCACTCTAGCCAATAGTAACAGACGCTCTGTTGTAAACAAGCCTTTCATACATTTAGTGACAGCTTTGTACTCATGATGCTCTATGTCAAACAGAAAACAAAACAAGTCCTAATGAGTTTCTAGTTAAATCGTGATTTTGTAATTAGTGTTAAGCCTGCCACGACCATGCTGGAAAAGTAAGGACAACGCTTCTCGATGACCTGCACGCATTTTTTTTCAACCGTAGGAATTAACATTCTAGTTTATAATGTTTAAGTATTGGTTTTCTGGCATAGGCGATATTAAGCTTTAATATCTAATAAAATAAAATACCTGATTGGCTCCATCAAAATGACATAGCCCTTGTAACTTTACATTATATGTTTCTCAAACTACAGCTTTTCCATGTTACTACAATAATAATAATAATAATCAAAATGTTCTCTATATAAACATTTTAAACTAGAAAGATGCATGTTCCAAACTGGCGTAAGTTAAACTGGTTATTAAAATATGTCTTAGAAAAGATAAATCAGTTATAACATATCCAATGTGTTCTACCTCACCGAAATCAAGATATAGGCTTAGAGTATCAAGCAACGTAGTCACGACGTTTGGTTCTTCTGTGCCTTTATCTTAAGGCTGCATATTAGAAATAATGAGGCCGTTCATGATGCACCACGTGTGGAATCGAATAATGAAAAACATCTTCAATAAGGTTTTCCAATTTCTATTTTATAATACTCAACACATATAATAAATCTTACATTTTGGGACAGTGACATGTATATACCGAGTGTTTAGAGAAAAACGCAGCATCAGTTACAGTTTATCAGTTTAATATCTGAACCATACTGTGTAATAATGATCTATTTTACTGGTAGAATCTATACCTTAGCATGACAAGTGAACGTGCTTTAAGTCTAGAAAAGGCGCTCAAGAGAGAAACCAGGGTCTCATCACAGTGGCTAAATGAAACGGATGGAAATAGACAGGAAGGTTCAGAATGGTGTTAAAGAGGAATGGAAGTGACAAAATGACGTTCTATGTGATGTGAAACAAAAAAACTTTTCATGCACTTTCAGAGGTTGTAGAGAAATCTTTCAATATGTAGATTATAAAGACTAAGGCATTTAAAGGACAATGCAAATTCGGTGTTCACAGTAGTGGCCAATTTTTCATATCACGTAGAAATGATTTTTTTTTGGAAAAAATCTTATCCTTATGTGGTCTAAGATGCATTGAGAGTTGTCAAGTTGGCTGGTTGTTTTTGTCTTATGATTAAATTAGTAACACTTTGATGGATGTATTTTATCATATTTCGCATGTCATCACTCGTACTTCTAGTCCACATTACAAGAACCTGCTAGTATATGGTATAAATCAAAGCAGTAAGCTATTATTTCATTACTGAGGAAACTACTACGAAGTACGTTGAGAAGCAGCTTGACATGCATCTGTTATATTGGTATTAGTCAGATACTCAAGAATATTTGATTGTTCTTTATTCCTTGGTCACTTATCAGTGCCAGTGGTACAGCGGTAT